CTAAGTCAACTTTATGGTCAATCTTTCAGTTTGTGTGTACAGACAGAGAGATCGAAATACCGTTTCCCACAATCCCGAACACAAAAACAAATATATATAAAAATATGTATACAAATATGTAATATATATATACACATTTATACATATCCACAAATTAATATTAAATAAAAGCACAACAATCAATATATACAAAATAACAGTCGCTTCAAATATCTTGTGTGCTTCAAACCTTTATTTACACTCACAGGTTGGGATCTCACAGGTAAAACGTCCAACATTTGACCTCCATGCGTTACAGTAGATAGATGGATAGATAGATGGACAGATGGACAGACAGATAGAAAGATAGACAGACAGACAGACAGACAGACAGACAGACAGACAGACAGACAGACAGATAGATAGATAGACAGACAGACAGACAGACAGATAGAAAGAAAGATAGATGGACAGATCGACAGACAGACAGACAGACAGATAGATAGATAGATAGATAGATAGATAGATAGATAGATAGATAGACAGACAGACAGACAGATAAGTATTTTATTGATCCCAATCTGGGAATTTTTTGCGCGTTTTTCCAGAGAGCACGAAATCAAACATGGCAACTTCTTCAGCAAGTTTATTCCTGAATAACTTGTCTGCTTCTTCCCCCTTTTTTCCTTTTCTCTCACCCATTTCCTCCTCCACAGAGTGCCATGTCTGTGCAGTCATCCGACCAGCCCGACTCCTCCAGACTCGGCCCTCGAGGCGAGTGTAACGGCTCCGAGGATCCACCGGGGGCCACATCCAACACCAACGGTTTCCACGATGAACCCACGGCGCCCAAATCAGACCCGACTCAATCCAAACAGAATCATAACGCGGGCGGATCGGCATCGGACCATCAGTTCCTGAACCCAGGTCCATCCTGCAGGGCTAACAAAGGCAGCAGCTCTTCTATTCCTTACATAGACTGCAGCGACATAGACAGTGAATGTGATGTGACAAAGAACAGCAGGGGCCACAGCGGGGCAAATGACAGCAAAGCGGATGAGCCTAGTGTTTATAATATTAATAATAAGCATGGGGGGCAAGCAGGGAGTCTGTTTGGGGCTGTAAACGGGTTCTACCACACCAATCACCAGGGGCTGATGCAGCAGCAGCAGCAAGGTGTTCTGGGTAACAGAAGCATTGTAGATCCTAACAAGCTTAGTCACGAGATAACAGATGATGAAATGGTGCCGAACAGCGGTTCATTTCACGGTCGTCTCCCGCTCCACAGCACGCTCCTGGACGAAGTGTTTCACGGGCGAGAAAAGCAGGTTTTAGGGCGGTCGTTTGGAAACGGGACGAGAAGTCAGTGCTCCAGCCCGGTGGTCGGCAGCTTCCACCACCGCACGAACTCCCTCAGTCACGCCGAGATGACGAACGATCAGTCGCATTATTTCGTTAAGCGTCCCGGAGTTTTCCCAGTTGAAGCTCCCAGCGTTCCGACACCTCCTCAGGCTCAGATCCACTACGGTAGCTACTCCCCGATCACCTCGAACCGCACTCATTTCGCCAAACCACATCTCAACAACAACGCGCGAAATCGCTCAGACACGGATCCGTTTATTCTCAGCCAATTAACATCCACACCGGTGCACCAGCACACCCCTCATCAGCACACCCCTCACCAGCACACCCCTCATCAGCACACCCCTCATCGCTCTGCGTTGCACGTCCAAGCGCCGTGTTCGGCCCCGATGGAGCGCAGAACGATTGCAACGAACGGGAATCACGCGGGAAATCACGGTCAGGCGCGAACAAACACCGTTCAGCGGCTGTTTGGACGTCAGGGAAAACCCGGTTCAAACCCCACGCGGGACAATCACAACAATATAAACGCGCCGGTTCAAATGATCGACGTATCCACAAGCAGCGGCTCTGGATCCGAAACCAGCGACGAAGAAGAGTCGGAAACCGGCAGCAGCGGCGCTTACAGCCACCCGTTAATGTACGGGAACCCCGCCGCGGTTAGCTCCTTGAATTCCGTGAACTCCAACGGCGTGAACTCGTCCCCGATTGGTCGTAATAAGTTCTCTTTCGGGCTGGAAGAGGGAGAGAACGGGGAGAGAGAGGAGAGGGAAGGAGGCCGTTATCGCTTTAACGAGGAAGACGTAGGAGGGCGGGTTTTCAGCTGTTGAAGGGCGGAGAGAGATATGCACGTAGTTTTGCTCCTTATGTAACAATCTCAGTTTAGTGTAGTTCAGATACTGTGCTGCTTGTGTGTAAGCTACGTTAATAGAAGAAGTACTCTACTGTGAATCGCGATATTATACTAGTCCACGTTTCCTCTAGCTGTGACACACCTTTTATAAACAAACGCATAGTTTTGGAGAGTTTGAAAATTGAAATTTTTGACATATTTTGTAGGTTTTTTAACTCAGATCTCTGCCCTTCTTTTAAGATGGATTTATAATACTTCCTTTCATTTTTTAAACCCCCAAAATCCTTGTTTTTGTATTGGATCTTTATGCCAAACTGCTGTTACACATAACAAATGGCTTTTTGTCAAACGGAGACTCAATAGTAGAGTTAAAACATCGAGTAACCGTCCTTAAAATGTGCCATAACCTAAAACAATGTAAATTCAGTGTTTTTATATGTATGTAAAAAACCCATTATGTAGGAAATGGTCCTGGAAATCTGAAGGAAAACCATCACATAGAGAATAGTGATATAGCTTAGGATGATTTAAAGTTAAATGCATGTTATTGCGATATTAAGGTGTTAAAGAAAGACTGATGGTTTGTTTTCTGAAAGAGTTGACCAGGACCCGCTGCCTTTCTTGGTCCTTTCCCCGTTTGTTGTGATAACATTTAGCGTTCCTTGTGTAGAAGTTTCTCTAAGTCTCACTTTTATAATGATATCACTGTCGTCTCGTGCAATAGGAGGGCTTTAAGGTGATAGCTGGGGTTCATGGAGATATTCCCCTTCTTAATTGTACAGAATCGTCTTGGTAGACAACGAATTGTAGAATCATTTGGTAGTGAAATAAGTGAGGGTGTTTCTCGTTCGTTTTTTAGAGCACTTTTTCATTGGACTGTCGTTGTGGGTGACTTGCACTGTACTTTGGATGTTTGTTTTAGTTTTAATATCTCAAATAGATTTGCATCAACTAAATGTTAGGGAGAGAATTTTCTAATTGTATTTTTGATACAGGTGCATTCCTTTCGGTCTTCTCCCTTTTCTATCCTCGCACAGAACCACACACATCGTCCTTAACCACGCGACCGTCCACAGCTTTCTGCTTTGCTTCGCTCGGCCCCTGGCATGCTTTATAAAAAAACACGGTTGACTTTCTTTGGATGCTGTCCTCTTTGTGTTGCTGTTTATTGAAGGTGTTTCTGGCACTGCATCCCAAACACTGTCATTTGCATCCACTGCTTCTTTTCTTTACCTAGCAATGCAAATGATATGTGCATGTCGCACTTAGGCTCGGTGCATAAAAACACTAAACTGTACATATTCATGATTTTAGGAAGGCAGGGTGTCTTTGAGCTACTTCTCGATGCATTAGTGTGATTTGAATCTACTAAGTGACCTAACTTGGACTGTATGTTATCAGCATCCCCTCATGTGTAGTCCCTTTCCTAAAGCCAAACCTTTTCTTTCCTCGGAGCAAAATGTCCATGCTTTGTAAATGCACTGTTTTACGCATGTCACTGGGAACTGTTTTCTTTTCTTCTTACACTGAATGCATGTTAACCAGGCGAGCAATGTCCCTGCTATTCTGTCATTATGCTCATTTCATCACTTGGTGTTTGTGTCGAAATGGTTTCAGATGTTTGAGAAACATTCGGTGCAGTTTCACAACTTTTACAAATGTCTAGTTCCCTGTTTTCCTTCTTTACTTCCTGTGGGTGTCCACACAGTTTCATGCCTTTTTGTTACAACACTGCCACGGTGCATCTCCTGCACCCCGTGTTCTTCAGATATTCAGAAACCATTTATGTTTTCGCCCGCAGCGACACAAGCATAAAACATGGCTGACTCAACTCCAGTGTGTTTTTTAAAAAAGAGAGAGAGAGAGAGAGAAGGTAGACGGACACAAGTGAAGTTAAAGCTTAATGCAAACGCAAGTGCAGAAACAAAGAGTTCAGAGAGACGTTTCGTAAGGCGGGAAAGTCTGAGTATTGTCAGAAGATGGACACACACACGCACACACACACACACACGCACACACGCACACGCACGCACACGCACACACACACACACACACACACACGCACACTCACACACTCACACACACACACGAGAACTGGAGTTGAGTATTTCACCATTTCCATTGAGGCTTTTTGTCATTTGAATGAACACTAACGGACTGATAGAACGTTGTTTTCTAGATTTATTTTCAATAATTGTAGTTTTATGCAGAATACACGCAGTTATGATTTTGGGCAATGTGCCAAGAGTTATATGAGACAGTGCTATAAAATGACTGGCAAGAATCCGAGTATTTTCCCAAATGTCGGACTATTCTCTTTAATTTTAAGCATCACTTAACACACGTTTTACTGACTGGCCTCTTTTGAAGGAATAAACCGGCCTTTCTTACGTTCTGATTTGAAGGTCGGGGGCGCTTTTGCAACAAATCTAAAGCATATCATTGCAAAAAATACTGGAAAGGCTGCCAGAAAAAGTCTCTTTATTCCTCTCTTAAGAAAAGGCTTCTCTAAACGCACACTCTCTATAAGACTCACTGGTTTCCACTCTTGTAACACTTTGTATTCCTGCACACCTGTCCTTTTTATTTCCATTAAAAAAACACCTCTTACATTTTATTTTTCTTGTCTTTGAACGGTTTAATCTTTATTTCTTTGCCCTTCATCTCTCCTTTTAACACTGTAACTGTGTGCACTAGTGTCAATAAAAAAACGACCTTGTTTGTTGGAAATAAAAAGGGACTCCAGCATTTTCTGTAGAGAAAGAAACCCCTCGAACTCCCACCCATTTACCCCTAATTGTGCCTCCCCATCCCCTCCCATGTGTCGTGTCAGCTAGTCGTAGAGTAGAGGTTTTGTTCGGTGATTCGACCCGTCTGTGTTGCATGTTGTCTAGCTCCTAGTTTCACGTGTTTTTTTGTGGAGTCTGTTTCGTGGCAAGTTCCTTTTTTTTATAGCACCGTCACAGATCTGCACTCAGTGGTTTTTGAGAGACAGTGGACTCTGTGGAAGCTTTGCACACGGGCAAGTATACGGTCACAACTTGTAGTAGTTTGTAGTGACTCTAGTCGTAGTGAGACGTAGCTTTGATTTATTATTCTTCTGTCGGGACATTTCTACAAAAAGTTGCATTCATACCAGATTTGTTGCCGTCATCACATCGACAGTGCATTTTAAGGGAAACAGAAAAGCCAATACACGTCGTCATAATGCGGCAGTAATTAGTTTTCTACCAGTGTTGAAACTATTCTTCCACTAGTCGACTCAATTATTAGTTTTTACCCTTATAATGCACGGATATGTCTGTCTTTAATAATCCAGAGCTTCTTACTAACATCTACTTACGGTACTTTTTTCCCTTCTTTTAACCTTTTTTTAACCATATTTTTAGATGAGAATCCAAAAAGCATGGAAGCCCATTTGTGCCTAAAAGAGTCATTATATTAAGGAACTGAAACTGAAGTTATTTTGATTCATTATGGAGAAGTTTCTCATAATAATGACCTGCAAGATCTTTCTCTTTTGTTTTTAACTGGTGTGAATAGGCTTCCATAAAAGTAGATCTAGTCTCGTTCATAGTCGAGTGATCGAAGCATTTCTTTGGTTTGAACCTCTTGATCATTGTCTTAACTTTTCATCACCAAATACATTGGTTACTTTCAGAGGAGTCATATTTTCAGAGGTGGGAGAAGTACTCAGATCTTGTACTTGAGTAAAAGTAGAAGTACTCAGATCTGTACTTGAGTAAAAGTAGAAGTACTCAGATCTGTACTTGAGTAAAAGTAGAAGTACTCAGATCTTGAGTAAAAGTAGAAGTACTCAGATCTTGAGTAAAAGTAGAAGTACTCAGATCTTGTACTTGAGTAAAAGTAGAAGTACTCAGATCTTGTACTTGAGTAAAAGTAGAAGTACTCAGATCTTGTACTTGAGTAAAAGTAGAAGTACTCAGATCTTGTACTTGAGTAAAAGTAGAAGTACTCAGATCTTGTACTTGAGTAAAAGTAGAAGTACTCAGATCTTGTACTTGAGTAAAAGTAGAAGTACTCAGATCTTGTACTTGAGTAAAAGTAGAAGTACTCAGATCTTGTACTTGAAAAGTAGAAGTACTCAGATCTTGTACTTGAGTAAAAGTAGAAGTACTCAGATCTTGTACTTGAGTAAAAGTAGAAGTACTCAGATCTTGTACTTAGAAGTACTCAGATCGAGTAAAAGTAGAAGTACTCAGATCTTGTACTTGAGTAAAAGTAGAAGTACTCAGGTCTTGTACTTGAGTAAAAGTAGAAGTACT